AGCACGTCCTGGATGAAGCACCATGTGCCTTAAAAAGGAAGCTGAATTATACAGGCATTGAAGATCTGAACTTTCCTTTTGTTCTTGTAGGCATTTAGAGAGAGGGAAATGGTACATGCAGCCTAGAGCATGTGTTAATATCTTGATTATATAAAGTTGGTTTTGTAAAGGTAGCTCTAATAGGGTATATCTTAGATGATCACACAGTAGGTAAGAACACATTATTCTTGTTTCTATGGTGTAGGAATAAGTAAGTGTCACAACTGGAATAACAACATTAACAGCAGCAGTTTGGGTCCTGTTGATGATGAGGGAGTCCAAAGAAGGCTTCCAGCCTTTCTGCTCTGTTTTTCCTGAAAGATCTTTGCAGGCAGAGGACAGGGACTGAGAGAGCACTGGGGATTCCTGTGCAGGACAGCTCTGTGAATAAAGCCTTTCTCGCAAGCACGGGGCCTCAGTGCTACCAAACCCATTCTGTCTTCTAGGTAGTTGCATGATTCTAGTTACAGTTTGGGTCTGGGATTCTATCCTGTTATTTTTTGGAGTAGGAGTTGAGATGTAATCACAGCAGACGTTGTTGAACATTTGATAAGTCACTGATGATTACCATCTTTGCCTGTAAAGGAGTCTCTTCCTACAGCAAGGAGATCCTCATCTCTAGTTGTTAGGTTAGAACCAGTGAAGAAGGTTTGCTTAACGAGTTGACATTGGTTTGCTCTGTGAAGGAAGGGTTTCATAATTAAATAGTTACTGAATTAAGCAGTGCTTCCCACATATCTGATCTGGTCTGTTTTCTGTTCTTTACTTTTTTATATGGTGCTGATAATAAACTGAGAAATCGAAGACTTTGTAATCACTTGGCAGTACTTAAAAAGGCATATTTTTCTCTGCTAAGCCGTTAGGGGCTGTAATCTCTTGTAGGCATAGAATCTGTACAATCAATAGCTTTTGGTCTGTGTTGTGCTCTTGGTGCAGGCAGTTGAGGTGTATGTGCAAGTGTGCATCTGTGCTGATGCCTGCTCTATACAGATACATTTGCTTGTTTTCCCTTAAAAGAGTGATTTAGCCTATTTTATAATATACCTGAGTACTGATACTACATAGTCTAGCAAAAAAAAGATGTGCAGCTGTGGAGAGCTGTGCAGGCACACACTGAATGCCAGCAGACGGGGCCCTTCAGGCCAGGCCTTGCGTCTCAGCTGAGGAGTCTCTCTGCCTCATTCTGGACCCACGAGAGGAGGGAGAAGGAGGGGTGTGGGTGGGCAGCAGAATGGTTGGAACAGGGGGATCCCAGATTTTGTCTCTCTCTCTGAAGGAAGGGAAACGTGCTCTTTGGGAACTCGGAACACAGTGTTATGTGATGGGAGCATGAAACTGGGCCACTTTATAGTACCAAGGACTGTGTCCTGTTTGCAGTACCAAGACTACAGAGAAGAATGTCCTGAAAAGAAAACATACAGTCAGCTTTTAATTTTGGAAGAAACTCTGTTACCTTCCTGACGGCCTTGTTATAGGGAGGGAGGGAAGAAGCAAAAGGGTGAATGTGCCATCAGACGTGCTGGAATATTGTGTTATCCTCCAGTGCTGCGTACCGTGCTGCCTGCTGGTTCCCAAGCTGATCCCTTATATTTTGCATTTCATCAGTTTTAAGGTTATTTCAGCATTTTCAAGGTGGCAGCCTCCAAAAGAGATGCAAGGGAGTCAAATGTGGACGTAATCCTTTAGAGACTCTTCTTGGGTTACTTGTGAAAGAAGCAGATGTTGCAGATGTCTCTTACTCATCTTTTTTTCTGACCTTTTTTTCTGGTTTTTGTTTTTCTGCATGTCTCTCCTGACTTTGTGTGGGGGTAAACGTTTGAGGTTTGGCACTAGCAGGAAGTTGATGTGGTATGGAAAGAAGACACGGTGCGCTACGTGCATTGTAAGATAAACACTGCTATCAGCTCCAGCTTCAGCACTGTTCAACCTCTGTTCATCCACATTTCTGCTAGGAGCTGTGCTGAAATCCATGGGCTCTCTTCTCCTGTGTTGGAGAGGAGTCAAGCCTCCTTGTCCTCATGGTGCTGCTGGCAGTCAGTCTGCAAAAGGATGTGAGCCCAGTAGCTGGTTGCAGCACCAATAGCTTGTCTCTCTCTCCTTAAGATAGGACGGAGGATTTGCTTTAAAAATCTGTGGGTTTATTTTACTCCCCCCACCAGTGTGTTGTTAATTTAATTGCTCTTCGATTTCTGAAGAATTTTGGTGCAGGCAGGTAGGAGGTGGAAAGATCTATTTTAAACTGCTTTCTTCTTTAATTTGTGTCTTGTTCATGATGTATTTTTACCACCATCACTTGGTGATCCAGCTGCCACTTCTAAATGTCATTTACTTGAATTAAAAAAAAGTAATTACAGTTCTGAGTATGACATAAGCACTGAAAGTAGTAACTGAATCACAAAGTGCTGTTTGAACAGCAGCTTTCTGAGGACAGGAGGGAAAGTTTATGAAGTCCAGCATAAGCTGTAAATACAAGTGTAGCAGAAATACTCAGTATCACTTGTCTGCAGGTTTTCCCATCTTCCATTAGGCTTTTTATTAGGGAAATACCTATTTATAAGTCCTCCCTATTAAATAAAAATGGATGAACAGTGTTTGGTTGTTCTCTGATACTGATTTGTGGTTTTGATTGAAATCAGTAAGTCATTTTTTCCCAGCACTCCCTGAAGAACAAATGCTCATGCACTTGTTAACCATACGCCTTGAAAGGGGGTTTGTTTGACTCCAATAGTTTTTTTTTCCAGGATTAATACTATCAAAAGCTTTTTCAAAACATTGCTTAATTCAGCTTAAAAGCTGATGGAGACCTCTCATCTTTTTGCTTGAAAAAAGGGTAAAGGAACAAATATTGCATTCACAGATGTTTCTGGTACTCCATGGAGCAAAGTATGCTATTTTAACAGATGGACCTCTCACTTCCTATAGTCCCAGTTTCTTCAAAATCAAAAGCAGGACCATACAGCCATTTTGAGTAATGAAATGAAAGTCTGCTGCACGTTCCTTTTAATACTATGTGCTTAAGTTGATGTTAAAAAACTTCATTTGACCCATCATTGGGTTTTATAAAACAACAGCATGACAGTGTTAATCCAAAATACCCACTGATGGGCTGAACAATGTTTGTAAGCCTTCAGGTTCCATTCTGCTTAGCAGAAGGTTCAGTTATTTACAGTCTACGAAGTTCTTTTTCAGTGCTGATGTCTGTATCCTAAAGGAGAGAGAGAAAGAACTGTGGTGGCTTGATTCTGCTTGGACTGTCCTCTGTTAGAATTCTGAGTTGTTGTTGTTGTCCTCTAGGTAGCAATTCGGGTGCTTATGGAGAATGTGCCTGTTGGTGTCCATCAGCAGTCAGTGTGTGTGTGTGCTGTAAGTGGGAGTGTCCTGGTGTTGCCATGAGCTATGTCATTTTCAAACCTTACAGCTGATGTTTTGCTGTCTGTTACTTGGCATCAGTAAGAAACATTTCCTGCAGCTTGAAATTTTTGATCTCTTTGATTGTGTGTCAATGTGTGTCTTGCTTTTTCCTACTGGGCATGTGCAGGAGTAACCGCTGGTCATGGTGGCTACAGACATTAGTGCAGCCTGTGAGTAGGAGCTGACAGAAGACCTGTACATTGTCTTGTATGTTCACAGCACACAGGTTTTGTGTAAGTGGGAACAAGCACCCCAAAAGCTTCTCTGATTACCTCTTTAAAGGTTATTCACACTTTTTCATTAGCAGCTCTTAACCTGCCTTTTGCTCCTGGGAGAGGCAAGGCCTGGGTCTCGTCTCCAGACGATTTGCTTATGACAGCCTGGAATAGAACTTCTCCAAACAACAGAATACTGGAAAAGGCCAAATATCAGCAGTGCTCTGTGTAGATGCAACAATGCTTGTAAAAAATGTGCGTGTAGCTGTTTATCTTGTTGCCAGGGTTGTGATTCGTGTATAATTCTTCAACTGAATAGTTGTCCACAGTGCATGGGCTTAACTTCCCTGAGAAACTTAAGCCCCTCTTAAATTTCCTGTGAAAGGCAGGAGGGGCAGAAGTTCAACTGACATAAAGCTGTGCTGTTCCCTTTGTGGACTCTCTGGAGAGGGATCCTTTCAGCCTTCTCTCGGGATGCCTTTATGAAAAGTTCAGTTCTGTTAAAGGTTTGTACTAAATCAATACAGAAGTTAATAACAGAGCAGCTGTTGACCATAAACTCTGGGATTTTCCTGTACTCAAATTTCAGCTGGAGGATAAATTTCCCACTTAGGGAGCAGATACTGCGTTTGTCAACTATTCAGTCTCCAGGACCTCTCTCAATTCTAGGATTTCTTATCAAGAAAAGACAACCAAAACCTTCCCTGACCCTGACTGTAAGGCCAAGAGAGCAACAGAAGCATGTCCTGGTTTATGCCTGTGAAGAACATTGAGAGTACACCCCCTTTGTGATGGTCTGCTGAGGTTTCTACCAAGTTTCTCCAAAGTTTTAAGTTCACCCTAAACTTACCCAAATCGAAGCAGGAGAGTTCCTTTAATCCCCTGGGCAGTTGAATGATGCTTAGTCAGCTAATATTGCCTCATATGGCCTGTTTGTAGACTACAATTCCCAGGAACCCCTGGTCTTTAAAACTTTGACTTAAGACCTTAGTGAAAAGTCAGCACATCCAGAAGAAAAAGAAAAGGTGTTTTTTTTTTATTGTACTGTTGCTTTGATAGCAGTTGTCCTGTGACTCCATTGCAGCAGTGTATCTAGCCTTCACTGTGTGGAGGAGAGGTTGGAAATATGAACCATGTACACCAAAAAACTTACTACACAAGGATATATATTAAGTATATTAAAATATACTCACCTTTTACGTTTCATGTTTTTGTATTTCACTTGGAGTGGTGTCGTCGTTGGATGATTTTTTTTGTAAGAAAACAAACAAGTATTGCAAAACAATGACAAGATCTTTTCTTTCCTCTCTTTTTTTATCCCTGTTTTAGGAAGGCATGAGGTGTGGTCCTGGACAACAGTCACCAAGCAATCCTTGTGTCTCGTGTGGCAGAAAGTGAGAGGGCAGCTAATGCTAAGCATGTCTTTCCTCGTTGCTGTTTTTTGGTATTGCAGAAGGCTGTACAGCTTTTTAGCACAGCTGGTGAAACGGTGGGTTTCTACTGTGCAAACTTTAATCTTCCACGCTGTTCCTTATTTCAGCAAATATTGGCCTTTGTTGGCTGCTCTTTGACACCTCTTTTATCATTTGGATTTCAGGTGGAGCAACTACCTTCAGAGAAAACTCATAAGTAATTTTTATGTTGTCCTTCTGCATTGGTTAATTTCCCCCTCCCACCCCTGCAGCTGCCCTTTAGATGCAGAACAGCAGAAGGTAACTAATCTGTGTATGAATCCCAATTTAGGAAATCTCAGCGTGCTGACGGAAGTTGATCTGCTTGGTTACAGTGCGAGAGAATGGAAAGGAGACACAAAGCAGGCCAAACACATGAGGGAGGTAAGAGAGACGTTTTCCTCTCCGAATGAGGATGGGGAAGAAGTAGTGCCTGGGAGAGGAGTAGCCCTGCCAGTGCAAGCGGCTGCTGCAGCTGCCAGAGCCCGCTGTGCCAGCTGGTCAAACGGGCAGCAAAAGGCAGCACGAATAGGGTTCTAAATAAAGGTTGCAGCAGAGAGGGTCAAAACGTAGATCAGGTTTTCATCTTGCCTCTTCTCCGAGCTGCCCCGTGCAGCAGTGGGTTGGGTGGGGCTCGGCAGGTTGGGGGGGGGCTGCTGGACGGTGCCGTGCCCCTCCTCTCCGGCTGCGGCGCCCCCTGGCCGAGGCGGTTCTGCGCCCCTGCAGGCAGGGCACACACGGGTCAGCCTCCCCTGGCAACTCCTGCTGCCTCCTACCACGAGTGCCTGGGACTGACAGGCCACTAATCGTAGTTAATGGCCTTTTCATCCTCAGCACCCCAGTCAGCCACTGGGGGGTGGCTGGAGACAGCCCTGAGCTGCCTGGGAAGGTGGCAGCCTCTGCTGCTTGTGAGCATCGGCTAATTCTCAGTGCTGCTCTTTTCCAGTTCTTTTATATGTCTTTTTTTTCTTCTATGTTTTTTATTCCTTTCCATCTAAGGCTTTTTTGTGGGTTTGGTGTTTTTCTTCTTTTTCTGCATAACTGTAAATCAAGGTGATAGAGTTGTGCTGCACCAAACCAGGCTTTGGGTCATGGATAGCTGAATTCCTGAGCCAAAGACCTCCTAAATTCATGGTTCACTACTCCTCAATAGGATGTTTTTTATCAGCTCACTGACGTTTTTCAGCTGTGTACATTGTGTGTACCTGCTTACACCTGACAGGCAGAAACAGCAGCTGCACTTCCCATGGAAGACCTACGTTACTGCACAGGCAGTGGGCTGTTGGCAGCTATGTCTTGGTGGCCATTCATGGAGGCATCATGGCAGGGGGCATGGAGGGAGCAGCAGTGCCCTGCAAAGGGCCCTGATCAGTGCTTGAAGTTGGAGCAGCACTAGGGTATCCTAACTTGTGGTGGGGACTGGCCTTCTGGCTCAACACATTTTATGGCTTTCTGTTTCAACTGTGTTAAGTCTTAGTCACCAATGTAGACCATGGGCTGGATCTTTACTTTTCCCCTAATACTTCTAGGTAAAGTAGCTGTACCATAGAGTAGCCTCTCTCCTGTGCAGTAGAGTAGGTAGAGTAGTAGTAGCTGTTATAGCAAGCTCAGACTCAAATCCAGTCAGTCATCTGTCTGTAACATTATATCCTAATGTCCTCATGGTGTGGCGTTTCAGACCAGCACAGGACAAATTCAGCACCAGGTCCATATTTATGTTTATCTGATAATACTGGGAACACTGTCTGTGATATGCTGAGAGAGGTCAAAAAGGCAAAGGTGGAAGAAGATACAGTAGTCATGAGACACAGCAACTAGCCATCTGCACTGGCAAGACCTGTGGGGTAGAACTTCAGGGTGGTGCCAATGACTGTTTCATGGATCAGCTGTCAGGAAGCCTTTAGGAAAGGAAGAAGCCCTTGCCTTGGTCCCAAGTGGTACACAGGATCTGCCTCAAAATGTTGCTAATTTCGCTTGTTCTCTGGAACAGGAGACCACAGGTACTTGTATCCAACATCCTTGCAAGAACAACAAAGAAAAAAAAAATTACAATGGTATGTGTGTTAAATAGAAAAAAAGACAACTAAGAGACTTGAGTATTCACCATCAGGGTATTTGACATGGGTATAGCTTTAGGTCATGGTATTGGGATCACAGAAGAAATGGAGAAGGGCTCCAAGAAGCACTTGAGAAAAGGTAAAAGAAAGCTGATAAGGCTGAACAGTAGCATAAAGAGATTACAAGCTAAAAAGAAGGTACTTTTCCAAAAGCTGCAGCTGCCTCCAAAGGATGGAACAGAGAAAGGATACAGAGAAACAGAGAAAGGATGTTTTGCCACATTAGGTGCAGGAATGACCAGAACAACACACTACAAGGCCAAAAGTGATTTGGAGGAACAAGTAACAAAAGATAGCAAAACTTTTAGTAAATTGGCAACACATACTGGGCAAAAGGTGTTTCAGAAAATCCACAAGCCTGCTAGATGATGAGAGCAGCCAGTGGTTGGTTATATCAGGTAGAAGTTATCACAGTAAGGAGCACATTTTAGGATGAGGTCTCATGAGATCGTGAATCAGTCTAATGCGCTTGCTGTCCCCAAAAGGGGCAGTCTCTTTCTTATCTTCTCTCCCTTTTTCTCACTTTATTCAAGCTAGACAGTCCCTCTCCCTCTTTTGTGCTGGCTCTTGCAGCTTCTGTTGGACATGGTTCACCTAGATGGTGAGCTGATAGAGCAGGTGAACCGGAAGGAACCCTCTCTGAGCCACACTTGAACTTGCTCAAGCTTCCAGAAGCTCCCCCAGCTGGATGAATTCAGTAGGCTGACTGTCACAACCAATGCAAAGTAAGAGTAGGGGAGACTGCAGCTAAGAAGTGGTGTTGGGATGGGGTGAGGAAGCAACCAAAATGAAAGAGGACCAGGATTTGAGACCATCTTCCTGCCTCTTTCAGGAAGCAAACTGTAAGACTGGTGCAGCAGCCTGTGGAACTGTAGAGTTCTTTCTAATCTCTGCCACTTTATTCCTTTGACTTGTCTCGACAAGTGCTCAAATGAGAGTCAGAGGTAATGCAGAACAAATACAGGGAGTGTGTAGCTGGGAGAAGGATCATCTGCTTCAGCACAAAGCTGCCAGATCTGCTCAGCCTCATGTCACTGTTGCACAATGGATTCAGGTCAGTGTAAGGAGGTATTTTTGGCAAAGGGAGTTTTCTCCAGATGCCTGTTCCTGCCCTTTTGCTGCTCCATCCCATGTGTCAGCACAAGTTACAAAGTGGTTGAGGTTAAAGCTATTATGGCAAAGAAGTCTTGGCTGATCTGCTCTGATCTGGTTGACTGTGTGAATGTTTACACTAGCAACAGTGCAGAGACTGGAGCAAGTCGCTGGGTTTGGAGAGAGTGCAGAATCACTCTTAAGGGGCAGTGCCAGCTTAAGATGTTTACAGAATCCATGGGGTTGGAACAAATTCTATATATAAAAGTTAAAAATACACTCATTTCTCTAGCTCCCTCTTATGAGTAGTTTGGAATTGGACTCTAATCAACATGGGGTTTGTCCAAGATTTAAAATTTTTATTGCTGTACTTTTTTTTTGTCTTTTGTAGGCATATGAAGAATTGTTTTGGAACTGTCATATCAGATACCTGAGACAAGTCAGGAGGGATAACTACTGTGTACTAAGAGCAGTCCTTTTTCAGATATTCAGCCAAGGCATTCCTTTTCCATCATGGATGAAGGAGAGAGACATATTGAAGGTATAATTCAGTTCCTAAATGGGCATGACCCAGATAACCTTGCATTGCAGAAGGAAGCTTTGGTCAACGTGAAAACTAACATGTCTACTATGGAAGTAGAGGAGAATCATCAGAATTTAAAGAGAAGTTTTTCAAATTCTTTGATTTGCATTTGATTGAAAAAGTGCTCCTGATCTAAATATACTAGTGTGAACATAAGTCTAAAAGGTTAAAAACAAACAAACAAACAAACAAACAAAACCCCAGATGGATAAATGTTACTGCCACCTTGCTAGATGTCACTCCCTTAATACAGAGTGATGTTGAATCCTCCTCATCTACATCTATCCAGAGTCTGGTGGTTCACTTGGGAGCTGCAGAGCATGTTGCTGGAGCAGCAGAAAAAAAGAATGCGTCCCTGGCCTCCAGGAGCATCAGCAGAAGACAGTGGCAAGGAGGTGGGGAGCTGTGGCTGCCGCCTGTGGGGGCACAGGTGAGAACTGGGAGGTGTCTCTGATCCTGAATACCTTGCTGAGTTTGGATGTATCCAGCTTCTCCAGAGTGGGGGTTTTGTATTTTGCTGAGAGCATATTTTCATCTTTTTTTGGCTGGCCCCATTTTAAAAGTTTCTTAAGGACCTGGCAGTCACGTGGAGCCTTCTTAACATTTGAGATGTTCTGGGGCCCACTGTTTTTTGTTGTTTGAACTGTAAAACCAGAGGATAGAACCACATTGTAAATTAAAATGTGTGCAGACAAGTTTATGTAACTTTATATTTTGCTTCTTGTTATGGTTATGATTTGTTTGTTGTTTTTTTTCCCCTTCCCTCAGCTCCCTGAAAAACTTTTGTATTCTCAAGGTTGCAACTGGATTCAGCAGTACAGTTTTGGGGCAGAGAGATACACAGGTCCCAATGCCTTCGGTAAATTGCGCAAATATATGGAGACATTGAAGACAAATGTGAGTACTTAGGAAATGTTTGGGTGGAGTAAAAGCATGGAGAAATGGGGTGAGACAGAGTTAGGGAACTGCTCGTGGTTACATACTTCTGTGGCAGTCATTCACCCTCCTAGGTTCAGAGGGCCATCAGCTCTCCTGGAAGGAATTCAGCTTTGGGAGATCGACTAAGCTAAGTGCTCAGGGTCCCCCTGCAGGTCAGGGAGGCCATCCTCCCCACAGCTGCTGCTGTGTGCCTAGTTGCCCTTGCAGTATCTCATAATTTCAATTAAAATTAACAACATGCTGATGAGAGCTTCCTGGATTCCCTCCTCAAATGGGACAGAACAAAAGAACAGTGTATTTTCTTCTCAGACTATTATCTTTCCTTTGCTCCCATTTCCATGAAATGTTTTATTTATCCAGTTTTACTATAATCTCTCTCTCTAAGCTGAAGCAATTGATTACCAAGACCTGTCAGCATCACTGCCTCCACTGCTCAGCATAGCCAGGGTGCCTGCATTCCCAACCAGGAGCATAGCTCTTATTTATGTATTTCAAAAAACTTCTTTACCTTGAGTGTGACGGAGCCCTGGTGCAGGCTGCCCAGAGAGATTGTGGAGTCTCCTTCTCTGGAGACTTTCAAACTCCACCTGGATATGATCCTGTGCGACCTGCTGTAGGTGAACCTTCTTGAGCAGGAGGTTGGACTAGATGATCTCCAGAGGTCCCTTCCAGCCCCTGCCATTCTGTGATTCTGCATGCCTGCAGTTGCTTGAGACTGTTACTATTTGCATTGCCACAGACTGTCCCTACCACACCACCACCCTCTTCTCTCCATCTTGCTCCATCTGGGCAGTAGCTTTGTGTGCTCTCCTGCATCACAGCCGTCAAGCAGATACTGGTCGTTGCTAGACTACAGGGGGTTGCCCAATTAGGTTGAAATGCTTCTCTGAGAATGTCCATTATCCATCCAGTGCAGCATACCTTAAACTGTTGGTTTTAGTTCTGCAGTATACCACAGTTCTGGGTTGTCTGACACAGCCACAACAACTCATTTCACCGGCACATATTTAAGTTCCTTTCTTTTATGTCGCCCTGTGTATATGGGCCATAACTCTGTAGTTTCAAATGCTATAATCAGTGATAGTAATTATTACTTAAAGAGAAACTATGAGTGACAAATAGACTTATTTAGCTCTAGAAACAAAGCATTAGAAATAAGAAGAGGGAGTTAAAGTAGAGATCTGGTCCCTTGCCTGAGCCCTTGCTGTGACACAGTGACAGTTGTCTGGCTTCTTGAGATGTGCCTGGTGATTCCTGCGTGCAGTTATGGTGTTGTTCTGGTTGCTCTTTACATTTGCCAGCGTTAGGGTTGTTTGGCTTTTATTTTTAACTTGGTTTAGTTCTTTTAAGTTGATGTTAGTCCCTTAGCATGAAGCATTGAAACTGGATGTTTGCACAGAAAAAAAGTTTCAAGTTGGCCCAGTGAACAAATCCATACAATAAACAAATTGTTGCAGAGCAGCTGTATGATGTATTGTGCTGTTAGCGGGCATGAGGTCTATCCCCCAGCTTCATTTGTTTTCTATAAAGATGCTGCTTGGCCAGTGAAGTGGATTTTTGCCTGTTTTTACTAACACTTCTCTGCTGCCTCTCCCAGCTCCATCGCCGTCTGTGGGCTGCTGCCTGCCCATGGTGTTGTGCCTGGGCTGTGCTGGGTTAATAGGTGCTTTACAATTAGGACAGGCTTTTCACTTAGGTAGTAGAGGTACTCTAGCAAAGGGACGTTAGTAGTCTGCCTACTTGGTCTTTGTTTTAACCTGTCAGGAGAGTCTTCAGGAATGCATGAGGAGGTGTGGGGGGGATCTGTTTCTCAACTTACTATTTATGGATAAATGAGATTTATCATTTTAGTTGCAGTTCACAGTTCATGGCCACTTCAACATGGTAATGATCCCAGTCGTTGAGCATCATCTCTTATTGTGATCCCAAAAACCCTCTTGGTTTCAGGCGACTTTTCTTAGCCACCGTGTTCAGGACTGGGTGCTCTAAGCTTTCTGATTTGACACACAGTCCAGCACTGTCTCCTGCACAGCCCGTTTTCTGGGTGTGAACACTGACTTTGGAACCCTTAAAGAGCAACAGAGAACTCAGGAGCTCTCGTTACCACTCATGACCAGAATGAGAAAATCCTGCCCTGTTCATGTCCCATGCATGTCTTTCTTGTCCCTTTCTGTGCAGCCAACTTACCTTGACCTCATGAAGTAGCACACACTGAAGACTTATACATGTGTACAGTTTATAATACCATTCTGGCTTGTCCAGTTTGTACGTGTTCCTTTCAGTTTTCATGCTTCTGGGCTGGGCTCAGCATCTAAAGAATTCCAGCTAGAACTACCGTAGAGGGTACTGTAGAAGATAATCACTGAATTTTGGAGGCTGTAAGTTAGAACAGGTCAGGAGTCATCACTTAATCTAACCTTTGCTTATAGCTTAGTGTGCATGTCTGATACACCCACACAGATTCCCTGTAACTTTCTGAGGTTACACTCCTTTCAGACTGTTCACTGAGAGCGATACCTGGATTTTCTACAGTGGTGGTGGGTGGCTGTTGTATAGGGGAATGACATTTGCTTTCTTACAGGCTATCATTAGCATCTAGATGCTTGGAGCTGTCTGTAGCAAATAGGTTCAGCTGGATAAATGAAAAATGGAATGTGTAAAGCTTCAAGTTTCCCTGTGGATCCGAAAAAGCCACCTGCTTATTTGCACCACCATTTGGCCACAATCATGGTGTGGTACAGACTGGCCATCGTTCCCATTTAGGAATGTTTTGTATTAAATATAATACCTAATAATTTGATTAATATTCTTCTGTGTGCTTTCCAGTGGGCTGAAATAAGTGCTACCAAAGATCACGAGGAAAGAGGAAACATGTGCAATACACTCTTTTCTGATGAGAGCAAGGAGCACAAACTGTATGAGGCCATAAAATTCATCATGCTCTATGAAGTTGTCGAAGCATATGAGCAGATAAAGAACAGGGAGGAACCCATACACAACCTTTTTAGCCTTCTGCTTGCTCGTGATTCTTCATCTGACCCTTTGAGTTTCATGATGAATCATCTGAACTCCATAGGTGACTCGATTTGCCTAGACCAGGTAATGATATGAATGAAAAATAAATTACTAAAATGATTCTATCTCTGACATGATTAGGTGAATATATCATACATCATCTGTGATAGCTGGCCAGTTTTTTTAATTTGGGATATGAGGAAGTGTACTGAGGATAGTAATTTATCTTCCACAAAAAAAAAAAAAAACTGCAGTTGAGTAAAATGGGGTGGACAGTTTTCTTGCTGGTCAGAAAAAAATGCTGTAAGCTATCAATGAGACATAGTTTAGAACAATGATACCTTGGATAAATAAAATAATTTTAGATTATGCAGACTTGACCTATCTGTTCCACTATGCCAAATGCTCTATTAAAACTATTTTTGCCCCTCGTTTTGCTCGTCATTAGATCTAATGTCTGTTAAGAGCAGGTAATAACTCTTACTTACTGTTCACCTTTATAGGTTAAGGGCTGAGTTTTTTTTCAATTTTATGCTTAGTGAGGAGTTAAGTACTGACATCTAAGCTCCACACTGCCACTCTGCAAATAGTTTCACTTCCCAATGAGTGAAATTATTTTTTGTCATCAATTTCAGTTATCCCTTCAACTGTTACATGTTGCAGGCACCTTCAGGAGCAGTTTGATTATAACTGGACAACTTCTGCTCTGTCTGGTTATGCCCAAGGGTATAAGATTCTTGCAAAGCATTTTTGCAGATCAAGCAATCCTTTGCAGTAAGTGGCAATGAAGATGCCAGTTCTCAAGTTTCATATACATGAAGTACAAGGAAATGTTTTCCTTTGCTATTATATTTCCCTCATGTAGCAAGTGATCACAAGGTGGCAGGCTTCCCATTTTTCAAGGTGTATCAGTCTTTTAATAACTGCTAGTCCCTTCTTGCTCCCCACTAAGGTGTGTGAGTTGGCTTTGGGAGCAGGTTTTGTGTTGGCTCAGGTGGAAGTGGGATGTTTCCAAAGACTCAAGCATTAACAAGAATATCCTCTACATGCAAAAGTGCAGTCAAGGACTGTTGGAACACACAGAATACCCTCAAACTTTTAATTTTCTTACTCCACTTTAAAAAGGACTCTTTTTTATCCTAGTCTACTGTTTTGAAGCTAGATGACTTGCCTTATCTTGGATTATCTTCAGTCTCGTTTTCTAAGTCTAGAAATGAATGTCTTACAGACTTCTTTCATCTTCAGGTTGAACTGTTTCTTCTTGGATACTTACTTGAAGTAAAGATAAGAGTTTACAGACTGCACAGGTTTAATACTGAGGAATTTCAAGTAAACTATCCAGATGAATACCGAAGGGAATGGAATGAGATTTCTCTCCTGACCGAGGACGACCGCTACTATCACATCCCCCTGTTCAGAACGTGAAGGACCAGTGACTGTTCTCCCTTTGTATCATACAGTGAATGGCCAGTTCCAGTGAATTAGGTTTCTAATAGGCAGCAGTAAGATTTTGAGAATGCTCGTTAATGATTACAAAATGATTTATGGATTTACTGTGTGAACGTTTTGCTTTCCCATTGCAGCTCAACTCACCATCAGTCAGCCATGAAACCCATAAAATATATTGCTATACTGTCTAGGGGGAAAAATGTTATATTTGAGGGTTGTCAGGCAAAAACAACTGGATTGCATGACAAAGGCAGCAAAAGGAATGCTGTTTTTTCCATTGCTAGCCTGAGGGGTAAGCCTCTGACATCTCTGGATGTGTTAAACTCAAGTCCCTAAAGCAGTTGCTGCCTTTCCCCTGTCTGTCTCTAGCTAGGGAGGGTGAATCACAGAGGAAGCCACTCCTGGGGTCCTGCAGTTTTTACTCCAGGCTGTTAAACTTGCACCAACCTGGGGATACCCAGGATGGGAGGATGTAAACTGGGGCCTCTCTGTAGCTGCTTCAGATCCCATTTGGCTTCCACCAATGCTAGAAAGCCTCCTTCCAGGGGTGGATAGAGCAAGCAGCTGCAGGCTCTACTTACTTCAGACATGTGAAACGAAGCTGTCTGCACTCGGTGCTGGTATCTGAAGGTGAAGAAGAGTTGCACAGAGGGAAGAAAACCCAGCACACGCACACAAGAATACTGTGCCAGGTGAATGGAACGTCTGCTTTGTGGCTGAGGAAAGTACATAAGCTTTCTCAGAGCTAAAAAGGGCAGTATTAATAAGGAGCGTGCAACAGAGTTAGATCTGGTAGTTGCCTCTGGTTTCTGTCAATTTGTCCTTTAAGGGCTGATTACAACATTACCTACCAAGATTTCCTGTGCAATTCATCTGAGAAAGCTGTGCACAGAATGCATTCACAAACACTGCATTTTCAAAAAGTACTGATTTTCTGTGCATTATGTGAATTCAGCAGTGTGTATACGTTTTATCCTCTAAGTATATATTAATCGCTTGCATAAGATTGCTATCTTTACTTTAGACCTCAATGTTAGAAGAAGTCTGTCTGGGACAACTAAATGATGAGATTTACTTTCTTACGTGGGACATTTTCCCCAGTTCTGTTTTCTAAAAAAATTGTGTTTTGATTATTTAAAAAATAAGAGACATTTATTTAAAGAAATATTAAAATGTTACAGCAGATCTAGCATAATGTTTGTGAAAAGCCTACAATCCCATAGGCATACGGTTGTATTGAATAAAGTGGGATTTACTAGGAAACAAAGCCTGTCCTTTCCTTATCCAAGAGATACGGGGACAGACAGGTTTGGTTTTTAATTCCTGCAGGAGAAAACACAAGCCAGTAACAAAAATGTGAACAGGGCCTGCAGGAGCTGAAACAGTCGCATGAGGTAGCTAAATGGTCATGCTTGGAGTGCACAGAGCACTCATTTCCTTTCTGTAAAGGAAAGCAATTTTATCCCTCACAGTCTTTGTATTTGTATGTAGATGTGTATATATATTTATACAGGAACACCTGAGTTCTGTATTGTAACAGTTTTGTTTCCGGAAAGTCACTCTGAGTTCAGTTTCATTCAATAATTTGTAACTTTTAATTAAAAAGGCTTGGTTATGTAAAACAGTTTAATCTCATCAAAACCTGCATATCATTTATTTATTAAACTTTTTTTTTCCATTAAAATAGTTTGCCTACTTTAGATTTGATTCTGCTCTGCATGGGGAAATGTTACAGTGCCTGAGAGTAAGGTATTGCTGCCCTTTTGGCATCAACATTAACATTTACAGCTATCAATAAACTTCTCTATGTTTTATTCTTATTTTGGTACAAGCAGGCATCCCAAAAAAAAAGGATCTATTTTTTATGTGGGCTTTTTAATGGTTTGCTTATTATTTCTGAATAGGAATACAAAAGCATTACAGTTGAAAGCGTTAAATTGTCAAAGTGTATGTTTTTGTTATCTTGACCATATTAATAGCATGGGGTTAATAAAGATCTAACATAGACAGTGGAATTTATCTTGACAATTTGGATGTTTGCATCTGAACTAGGTCGCCTTGGTTCCTCTGCCCTGCCAGTGGAATGCAGCCAGAGGAGCAGGTCTCCAGAAGGGTCTGGTCTCCTCACTGACTTTAGTAGGAGCTGGCAGTGATTTGGTCTCTCATAAATCTCTCTGCTCTAGATGTCTGAAGGTAGGTGGGATTAATTTTGTCCCAGGAATCTAGAAAGGACATGTTGAAACACATCTGCTGGCCTATCAGATGTCAGAGGTGCTAGCTGAATTGTGACAGGATCAGAAATAGGATGTGAAGAAAGAGGAACTTCAAGCAGTTAATCACAAGTCTTAGAGATAATGCCGAGAGAGCTCTATGCAGGATCTTAAAAGCACCGAGACAAGTTTTGGGCTGCACTCTGTCTGTGTGTCTGTGTGTGTATATAAAGCAAAAATACATAAAAAAGAGCATCACCCGGTGCTGCAGCTTTTCCAGTCAGTGGCACAGACAAGTTTGCTGTACAAATCCAGAAGCACAGCGTTGTTACCATTTTTTTTTTTAAATGCAGTGTTATAGGCAGTTAACATTTCAAATCAGGATGTGTTTATTATTTATTGCTGCTAGTTGACCAAGGAGAAGAAAACATACTAAAACCTCAGCAGTGGGTTTGAATTTTTCCCCAAAACTTGAAAGTATGTGCTAAGAATGTAACAAAGCAGTTACATAGTTTTGAAATACAGTTTGTAATTTGCCTAAAGCACATATTTAAGGAATATGTATCATTTGAAAATGAGTTTAGCTGTCCAGAAGAATAAAGATACATCCATTCTCTTCAAAGCACTGAAAAGACCTACATTTTTTTGCCAGTAGCTGGATTTCCCTGTCCCTGTGTACTTGCACAGTATTGCAGCAGTCTCACCTGTGACCCTGTTACGTTAGTGCCACTACAGCACCATTGGTTTTGGGGATCTTCATTTTTCTGAAACGCTGATTCTGAAAAAAATATAAAGTTGGGATTTTGCTGTCACAGAAGCCCTGGCCCCTTGCTCTTGGTTTGTGAGGGTTTTGGATTGCTTGAATGCCTTTCTGGCAGGAGAGAAACATTCATTTTGGGCCTGGTTTCATGAGAGGGCAGACTTTGGGTCTTTGAAGATTCCTTGAAGTCATTTGGAAGAGGAGCCTGGCATGGCAGCTGTGCTGGAGGGCTGTTGCTGCCTCACTAAGCAGCATTAGTTCCTCTTCACAGCATCCTTCACAGCGTTAGTCTAACCCTGGCTGTGGTCAGGGATGGAGCAGGCAGCCTTGGAGAGGCTTTTTTAGAGATTTCTCAGAAAGCTACCGAGGAAACCCACACACCCCAGAGACAGGAGGTGATGCACCTAGCAGGGACAGGATAAAAATGCAGAAAACTGATCTCCCTGGGGCTCGGCTGATTTGCGTCTCTCTTCATGAGCCACAGAGCTTTGTGTCAGCCAGGGCTGGTGGGTGAGGAGTATGGCTGGGGCATTGCTGGGGCCTGTGGCGCAAGGTCGTGCATGCTGGTCAGTACTGGGGGGAGGGAAAAAAAGAATATATGAAAGAAATAGGGTGGGTCCAGAATGCTTTCATCTTCCAGCATCTCCCAAATGCGCCTAATGCAAAAGTTAATGCCTTGGGAGGGCATTTAACCAAAACACCTTCCTCTTTAGTGAAGTATTTGGCCATAGATCAACGCTTTACGGAAATGTGAAGGGAACTAATTTGTATGCCTTTGTGCAAGTTTGTGTGCAGCAACTGCTGAGGTCTACAGCACACAGGACAAAGGAGTTATTGTCTGCTCTCTAAGTCAAGTTCTCATGTTCAGCTGAATGTTTTCCCCATGGCAGTAATTTTCTTTGCATCTTACAGATGTTGAAAATGATCAGTCTTTAAATTTCTATGACAAATTTAGCATTTAGCTGTGAAGGATTTTGTGTTATCTTTACCTATCCAGCAGACGGCTTCCAAGCATCAGAAAATGTAGTTCGGTAAGTTCAGTTCTCCTGGCAACTCTTTGGCTGTCAGCCTTGCTGAGAAGATAGCGGTGGGTTGGCCCTGGCCAACGGCCAAGCACCCCCACAGCCACTTACTCAGTGCCCCCCACTCCAGTGGGATGGGGGAGAAAACGGGAAGAAGAGGAGCAAGAAAGCTTTTAGGCCAAGATAAAGACAGGGAAATCGCTTACCGGCCTGCCATGGGCAAAACGGTCTCAGCCTGGGGAATTTAATTTGTTGCAATTTAGCATAAATATTTAATTACTGATTGGGGCATCGGGAAAGTAACAGACAGCATGTAAAACACTTAGGGGATAAGACACCCCCTCCTCCTTGCCCAGGCTCAGCTCCACTCCCGACTCTCTCCTCCCCCTTGTTAGAGGCACAGGTGGCAGCCGGTCCCTCGGCGAGGCACGGAGCGGGGCCGGGGAGGCTGTGGGCAGCACGGGGGGGTTGCCCGCTGCCACTGCTTGTTTCTCACACACCTTTCCTGGGCTTCAGAGCGAGTCCTTCACAGGCTGCAGCCTCTCCATTCAAGGTCGAACTTGCTTCCATGTTGGCTCGGGACAAGCAAGGTCTAAAACTCTTGCTGAGTTATATGTTAATTACCCATTTTATAAAAGTCTGTTTAGCTTAATATAGCCTCTATTCATGCTACTGGAAGGGGAAAAAAAACAGGGGGGGAAGAAAAAAACTAGGTTTTTGTTGTCTTCCTTCTTGGCTTCTTTAACGTCTTATCATGTGCACCTATATTTCTAACAGGACATGGATTAGGGTAGAGCAAGAGGGTTTGGAAGAAGGGGGTCAGAAAATTAGGGTTTAAAATCAATCCTGCATGTGAAAATGGTATTAGCAAGGCTTGTCTCGCTTTCCTTAATAACATCTTTAGGACTATGGTAACACAGAGGAGTAACAGTGATTTCTTGAGTTCTTGCAGACTGTAACAGGAGACAAAAAGCATTAGAAAAGAGATGGAATGATTCTGGACCTAACACAGAAGCTACATGGGAGCTCAAGTGATGATCTGATGGTGAAGAAAAGCCAGGTTGATAGCAGTGTGAGGAAGAAGGTATGGAAGAGACATGGCTAGGAGAAGTGAGATATTCCATGGAGGAAAACAGCAATTCCA